GGAATACCGTTCCTTAATCCCAAAGTAAATATGCAGCTCCATCAGCGGAAATAACAGTTACAGTAAGAGAACCTACAGTTTAGACTAAACAAAAGTCAAAGAAAAATAGGATTCACTAAACATGCTGCACAGAGTTCAGATAAGCAATTAAGGCAAGTAGACATGCTATTCTAAGCTAACTGGATACTGCACATGCTGATATAACTCAAATAAAAAGAAGAACAAGTTATTATTCATTGAAAATCGGGTTTTTACATCAATTAGCCCGTGTACGTACTCGTCACCTCACGTACACATCGCTCACATATCTAAAATAGCACAATCCTAATAGGAGTTCCCCCACACAAGGTTAGGCAAGCCACTTACCTCGAACCAAGCTCAAATCAATCCGTAACAATGCTCTTCCCACGAATATCCGGCTCTGAGTGGCCCAATCTAGCCAAAGTCAATTACATATCATAAATATAACTACAAGAAACTAATCTAGCTAATGAAATCAAATCCAACACAAGAAATTGGAAAATCGCCCAAAAAACCTCCCTGGGCCCATGTCTTGGAATCAGGTAAAAATCACAAATTATGAATACTCATTCACTCACGAGTCTAACCATATGAAATTTACTCAAATTTGATACTAAAATCTCGATCAAAATCCCAAAATTTGGCCTAAGAACCTTTCTCAAATTTTCCCAATTTTCCAACTCAAATCCCTAATTAAATGATGAAATCAACAATGGATTAATGGAATACAACCAAAAACGAGTTAGGAATTGTTACCCAATAACTTCCTCTAAAAATCCTTCAAATAATCGCCTAAATCCGAGCCCTCAAGGTCAAATGGTGAAGAATGACAAAAACCCTCAAAATCCTCTCTTTTCTGCCCAACTAACTCGCTTATGCGAGCCTTCAACCGCACCTGCGGGAAAACCATCGTAGGTGTGAAAATCACTTAAGTCCTCAAGGGCGCATCTGCGATAAGGTGGCCGCACCTACGAGTGCGCACCTGCGAAAAGTCTCCCGCTTCTGCGGTCCTTGACCGCTTCTGCGAACACCCTAGCGCATCTGCAGGCATTGCAGATGCGGAAATCTTCTCGCACCTGCGATCCTAGCCTGGGCTGCCTAAATCCGCTTCTGCGCTTACTTTTTCGCATTTGCAAGCCCGCACCTGCGGTCTCCCTACCGCAGGTGCGAAAACACCAGGTGTCTGAAACTTCATCAATGGCCTATGTCAAAATCTCATTCCGTTAAGCACCCAAAACTCACCAGAGGCCCACGGGACCTCAGCAAAATATATCAACAAGTCCTAAAACACCATACGAACTTAGTCGAGCCCTCAAATCACATCAAACAATGCCAAAATCACGAATCTCCTTCCAATTCAAACTTAAAGAATTTGAAACTTTAAATTTCCACAACTGATGCCGAAATCTATCAAACCACGTCCGAATGACCTCAAATTTTGCGCAATAGTTATATTAAACATTGCGAACCTACTCCAACTTCCGGAATCAGATTTCAACCTCGATATCAAAAAGTCCACTACTGGTCAACATCTTAAAAAATTTGATTTTTGCCATTTCAAGCCTAAATAAGCTACAGACCTCCAAAATAAAATCCGGTCACGACCCTAAGCCTAATGTTACCCAACGGAGCTAATGGAATCGATGGAACTCCATTCCGGAATCGTCTTCATACAGTTCCGACTAGGGTTCAAATTCCAAGACTTAAGCCTCCGTTCAGGGACTAAGTGTCCCAAAACACTCCAAAAACCAAATGAAACCTCCTGGTAAGTCACATAAGTAGAAAAAGATACGGGGGAAGTAGTTAATAGGGGATCGGGGCTATAACTCTCAAAACGACCGGCAGGGTCGTACATAAGCCTGGCACTCAGAATCAAGCACTACATGAAAGAAGAAGAGAACCAAAGAAGGTTACTATTGAATGGAAAACTAAGGGACCAGCCCCTCCTAATGCTACTTCATCTAACGTTCAAGTAGGTGCCGCCACTAGGAGATGATCAGCAATGTTTCTAAAGAAGCTCCACCTGCTACTCATGTAGTAGTATAGTGTGTTGAGCAAAGTAAAGTTGTTGATCCTCATCCTCAAGCACAGAAGGAGAAAGTCTTGATGAGTAGCCCTGAGCACTAGCAAATTTCCCTATCCCGGGCCCTGTATCATTTACTGGTACTGTGTTAGCAAAGAAAAGGGCCAGTGTGAGTCTTACACAACCTCCTGATAAAGGAGGTGGCTCCAAACCTTCATTATGAATTGGCTTTTCTGGAATGTTAGAGGTATGAATAAGAGGTATAAACAAAAGGAGTTGAGAAATTACTTAAAAAGAAAGAACATCAAGCTTGCTGGACTAGTTGAAATAAAAGTTAAGTCGCCTAAGTCTAAACAAGTTTGGAATAATATTGCCCCTTGCTGGGGTATGGAAAGCAATTACCAGAAGGCTGTGAATGGGAGAATATGGTTACTATGGGACAAAAATCTGTATGAGATATCTGTATTGAAGGTGGATGCTCAATTTTTACACAGTCATGTCATGGAGAGACAAGGACCTTTAGATTGTATAATTACAGTAATATCCGGCTTTAATGCAATTGAACATATAGAGGCTATGTGGCAAGGATTAAACAAGTTGCACATGGAGTTCATGTTCCCTGGCTGATTATAGGAGACTTCAATGCTATGCTCATCCCTCAAGATAGGATATATTGGAACCCAATTGCCTATGCAGAGGTCAAAGCCTATTCTGAGTGTATTACCGGTCTTCTACTATCTGAATTACAATGGAAATGGGAGTATTATACATGGTCAAATAAGCAGGGTAGTACTGATAGGGTCTGTAGCAGACTAGATAGAGCATTTGGTAATCATGAATAGATGTTGCAATGGGGACATGTAGTAACTGAGTACAAACTTCCTTTTATCTCTGATCATTCTCCTATGATCTTGTCCCTCTAGACTAAGGCTAGAAACATCAATGTCCCATTCAGATTCTTTAATGTCTGGACTGGTCATCAAGATTTCCTGCCTATGGTGCAACAAAGTTGGGAGCGGAAACTAGATATGTGGCCTATGAAAGATATATGGTTAAAGCTTAAGTCACTTAAACCTTTGTTGAAACGGCTGAACAACACAAAATTCAAGAGTATTTCTCAGAAAATTATCCTAGCTCGAGAGGAACTGCAGCTAACTCAGGAGATGATAAATGCTCAAAGTACTGACCAGCTCTTGGGAAAAGAGAAACAGATCTTGCTTGATTTGGAGAAATGGTCACTTGTGGAAGAAAGTGCTCTTAGGAAGAAAGCTCTTGCAAAATGGATAAAACTTGGGGATGCCAATACCAAATATTTCTCAGCTTTGGTTAAAGGCAGAACACAAAAGAAGCAGATACTACATTTTACATCCCTTACTGGTGCACAACTGACTGATCCTCTAACTATACAGGAGGAAATTATTGTTTTCTATAAATCCCTTATGGGTACAGCTTCCCCTTCTATCCCAGCAGTTAATAGACTCACAATGATGAAAGGTCCAACCCTCTCTCAGCAACAAAGAGGGGAGTTATGTGATGATATTACTGATCAAGATGTATGGTCTGGATTACATGCCATAGAGGATGACAAAGCTCCAGGTATTGATGGGTACAACTCTCATTTCTTTAAACATGCTTGGCCAATACTGAAGGATGAGGTGACTGTGGCAGTTAAACAATTCTTTGCATCAGGGAAAACGTTTAAAGCTATTAACTGTACTACGATCACTTTAGTTCCAAAGAATCCTAGTCCTCTAATAGTAAAGGAGTATAGACCAATTACTTGCTACACCATATTATATAAGATCATAGAAAAAGTCTTGGCTTCTAGGATTCAGAAAGTTATACCTAGTATCATCTGTGATGCTCAGGCATGCTTTATTCCAGGAAGGAAGATCTCAGAAATATTATCTTGGCCCATGAATTAGTCAAAGATTATGGAAGGAAAAATGCATCTCCCAGATGTATGGTGAAGATTGATTTGCAGAAAGCCTATGATTCAGTAGGATGACCCTATTTGAAGCATGTTATGAGTGAATTGGGGTTCCATGACAGATTTGTCTCTTTGATAATGGAATGTGTACAAACTGTTAATTATACTATGGTGGTAAATGGGGAAACTACAAAGCCATTTGATGCTGCTAAAGGATTGAGACAGGGAGACCCCATCTCTACCTATCTATTTGCGATGGCTATGGAATATTTGAGCAGGAAACTACATGAACTTAAGGATGACAAATCCTTTAACTTCCACCCCAGATGTGCCAAATTGAAGATCATCCATCTGAGTTTTGCAGATGACTTATTGTTATTTTCTAGAGGTGATCTGAAATCAGTTAATGCATTCCACCAAGCCCTCAAATAATTCTCATAAGCTTCAGTATTACAAGCCAATCTACAGAAAAACTCTATTTATTTTGGTGGAGGTGATCAAGTGGAAAGAGATAGAATTGTACAGAAGCTTGGCATCCATGTTGGTGAGTTACCTATTAGGTATCTGGGAGTTCCCCTATATTCTAAAAAGATCTCCTTTATTCAATGGCAACTTCTAATAGAGAAAATAGTGGCCAAAATTACCTCGTGGATAGCTAAGAAACTCTCCTATAATGGGAGAGTTCAACTGGTCCAATCTGTTCTTTTTGGAGTCCAATCATATTGGAATCAGCTATTTCAAATGCCAGTTAAGGTCCTTAAACTGATTGATGCTTATTGTAGAAGTTTTGTGTGGTCGGGCACTGAAATTATTACAAAAAAGGCCCTTGTATCTTGGGAAAAGATGTGTTTGCCCAGAACTTTTGGAGGACTAAACCTCCTTAACATAAGAATCTAGAATAGAGCTGCCCTGGCTAAGACTCATTGGGACCTTGCTCATAAGGATGACAAATTATGGATCCATGAGTTCTACCTCAAAGGCCAGCCTCTCACCACAGTCAGAGTTCCCCAATAAGCTTGTTGGATCATGAGGAAAATCTTGGAAGCTCGACAAATTTTGTTGCAAGTGCAGATAAGGAAGGGGCCAGACAGTCTAACTAAACAAGTTTATGAGCAGCTGCTACCTAGTTACCCTAAAGTACCCTGGAAATGTGTGATGTACAAGAATGATGCTAGACCTAAGGCTAAATTCATCATGTGGTTGCAGCTACAAGACAAGCTCATCACTACTGATAGGCTAGCAAAATGGGGCATAGTTGTTGACTTAGAATGTGTCATGTGTAATAATCAACCTGAAAGTAGGAATCATCTGTTCATGGACAGTGATTTCACCATAGCAATATGGAACAAGATTCTCTTATGGCTACAGAAACAGGCAGGGCCAACCACTGGATGGGATCAACACATAGCTTGGATAATCCAGAATGCAAAAGGTAGGACTCAACAAGCTCACATCTTCAGAAGTGTCTATGCCATTTGGATGGAGAGAAACCAGAGGATCTTCGAAAAGAAATCAAGGAACTGGAAGATTATAGCTAGAGAGATTGCCTACTTGTCCAATGTTAGAGCATCTCATGGTGTCCAAAACTTGTTACATAGCATGTTGTTCTAGATTCATTAACCAGATTTGATTACTGTTTGCTAGTGCAACTTAAGCTTTTGATGTTATTATTTAGATAACTAGTTGTGTTAAACTGACTATGGTATCGTAATGTTGATTCCTGGTAATTAATATAAAGTTAGTTACCAAAAAAAATATTAAGAAGATATTATTCCAGAAAGGCATTCAGAATAATTTAGTAGCGGAAATAGGCCCATGCGATAAAGGTTCAAAGTGCAATATTTTTATTTTTGAAAATACACTTCGTAAATTATTTTAAATGAAATACAATGTCAAAATATCAACATAAGGTGATCCAACCCTCCTCGAATAACCAACATGTTAAAGCAGCTTCCTAACAAAATTTATACTTTTCGTTCAACATCACTGCATGTTCATATTGTACATGAATTTCAAACTAGCAAGTAAAAAAAAAGAAAACTAGTCTTCTCCTTTGTACATTTCTACAAGACAAAGTGTAAATTCAGCATATTCCAAGAATTGAGTTATTCACACACCCTGAAATAGCAAAACAAGTCATCAAATTACATGTTACAAGATTTTGGTCTCGAGATCCAACAAGCCTCCAAAATAACATACACAAGTGTGACATATATATCATGTACAAGTCCCAAAACTATGTAAAACCTAGCTGCATATGCAAATGTGATATACATAAGTGCTCACAAAAATACTACTTCATAAGGGCGTCTTCAAATCTCATCCCGTACATTACCTACGATAGAAGACAACTATCGCTAAGCATAAAGCTTAGTGGCGTATAAACTTTGGGCTTGGAGCCATTAAATTCTCCAATTTCCCCCTTGCAGTCATAGTTGATCAAATAAAATATAATTTAAAACAAGTGAATAAATATATCAAAAGTATCGAATATCAATCCTTGAAGTATTTCCAAATATCAATAACAATGTTCAAGATTCAAGAGTCGAGAAAGCGTATACTATCAATCCAAGAGAGTTTGTCAAATAGCCATTTTGCGCCCAATATGTATGCCATGCCATCACACTAAGCATAATCAGATATCAAGATGAACCGAAGCCCCAAATCAAGTAGGGTCAAAACCCAATAGTCAAGAAAATTAAGAATCATATTAAAAATGGCTTCCTAGTTTGTACTTAACACTGACAAGTTCCGGGATTTAAGACGAACTACAAATCCAAAGTCAAGATGGAAAAAGATCCGAATCAAGAGGCATGCCAAGATGAGTGCAAAGTCACTGCCACAAGAAGGACAAAGTCCCAACAAGAATACAAAATGATCAAGCAAATCCTTATGAATGGGCGATTTAGCGAATATCTTACAATACTTGATATAACACAAATACAACGATATAAATTGAAGATACGAGAAACAAAATCTCAGGTTATTTCAAAATATTCTAGCAAGTAAAAAGAGTACAGAGTTTATACACAAACCTTGGTGTTTTACCACAAAATAATTCAACCACAACTTGAGGACGTTCGAATCGTCTACGCCCTAGACCAACCAAATTCGTCCACTTCCTCAAACACTTTACCTTAGATTTTACAAGGGTATATATACCTTAAGTGTCACACCTCCTTTTTTCGCTTACTACACCCTGTGAAGGGTATAATAAAGGAGTTTTTCCAATTAAAGGACAATCGAAACGGGATTCGTTTATTAAGAGAATCAGAGTCGCCACTTAGGAGATTTATGGTGTCCCAAGTCACCGGTTGGAATCCCGAATCGAGGAAAGGGTTTGACTCTGTTACAGTCGCGAACCAAAAATCCGAGTAAGGAATTCTTTTAACCCGGGAGAAGGGGTTAGGCACTCCCGGGTTCCGTGGTTCTAGTACGGTCGCTTAAATGCTATATTTGGCTAAAATCTGATTTTAATACGCGTTAAACCTATAGTGCAATTTTAGAATTATTCATCGCTTTTAATCAATTATTAAGAAAGTGAACGCCGTTTAAGAACGTGTTTTTGGATCACGTCACATGAAATGCACCCGGATCCTCGACACATTCTTATTCAACGTTTTGGGACTTGGATTTGGGTCGCATGAAATGCACACCCGTATTTATGAAGGTAAAATTATTAAAAGCGCGCCTAAAGTGACTAACGCGTTATTATTTTGGGGAGGACCGTGAAATTTACTAAACGGCCCATCCCGAAATCTAAGTATTTTAATTCAACCATTTATTGAGGGCCCCGCAATTTATACGTTTCTATTTGGCGAGGCTCGTCTCATTTTATTAATTAAAGGGCAAACCTAAAACAACTACGATTTTTCTATTTATTATTTGTCTCTAAAGGGCCTAATCAATTTGCATTTATAAATTCGAGCCTCGAATTCAAGTCCGAATTCAAAAAAAAGGGAGGACCCTCCTAATTTGAACCCGCCACCTAACTCGAATACCCAAATTTATATTTACAAATTAATCCCCTATTCCAAATGTAGTTTTTTAAAGAGTTTTGATTTATAGCAGTTTTGGGCCTTGAACCGTTGGCCCAGGTTTGCAAATGTTGTTGTTCAGCCATTGGGTTTCAGAATTAGTCCAGGGAGAAGGAAAACATGCCAGCTTTGGGCCCATGATCAGGCCAGGAGGCCCAATTGTCAGTTAAGCGTGCATGCCCTGATTGAGCCTATAGTATTAATTTATGGGCCTGTCACTATTTTGTAGAAGAAATCAGTGTACCAAATATTTCTATCAAATACAGTTAGGCCAATATTCAAACCAGTATAAGGTTAAGCGTTGACCAATTGTTAACCTGGAATCTAATAGCCGTTTTAACTTCACACCTATATGTTTTGAACAAATTCAACACCAGATTCGATCACTAAGCATAAATGTTGGAACTCACTGATGCTTATTTATGCCATGATTATCAAGTAATAGGCATGCAAACTACATAAATGAAATGATCAATCCTCTTCTTTTAGGCTACTGGACTGATTCGACCTAATACGAAAATGTAAAAAAAGAACTGGAACTAGACATACTAAACTAAAGCTATTAGAAAATATGTTCCTGAAATTCTAAAAGGTCTAGCGAGTCAGTTACTCACAAATCATGCTAGATTAAGTTACCGGCAGCACAAATATTGCAACTATACAAGTCCAATAGTCCAGTTAATTACAAATTAATAAAATAATTGTTCTATGCATCTTAACTAAACACAGAATAGACAACTTAGATGGACTTCAATCAGACTTCATTATTTTCACTTCTTCAGCATCTAATTTACATTGATTTCTCCTCAGTCCTATGAGATCAAAAGAGGTACCTGGAAATTGAATTGAATAAGAAGACAATAGGTCGGCAGCAGTCGATAACTAGCAACAGCAGGAGTACTTTTGAACCAAAAACAGTCTCTCAAAAATCCAGGAGCAAACTATAGAGACGCAGCACCCAAGAGATGACAAAACACAGCTTGTATGACACCAAATTGACTCGAGAATGCACTCAAAACACTTCTGAAAGTTTCAGCAGCTAGAAGAAATGCAATGTAACAGTTTTTTTTCGGAAACTAAGATCTAAGGCTGAAATGTGAGTTTGATCTCAAAAGCTCTTCAATGAAACAGTTTTTTTTAGTTTTCTGGAGTTTTTGATCTAGGATCTAAAGGAATTTGAACTTCTATTATTTTGAAATTCAAACTTTAGGCTCAGATTTGCAGAGAGGATTTGGGGGGAAATTTTTTAGGGTTCCAAACTTGTTTTCTAAGGCAGAATGTGTTGCCTTTTATAGGCAAAGCTTAAAGGGAATTTCAGATTTTTCTGTTTCATTCTAGTCCCTCTTTATTTTCAGTTTTTTTACTCAATTAGTTCCTTGTTTTCTGACTTGTGTCTCAAGTTAATATACTAAAAACTACTGAAATTCAATTTCAACCCCTTCTAGGTGCTTCTAGTAGTTTCTAGATTCAGTTACTATCAGATTCCTCAAGCGAATTACCCTTATTGCCCCTACCTTAATCTTGAAATTAACTATCCTACCCCAGCCCAAACTACCAGGGTCAAACCAATCAGTTAACCCAACTCAATCACCAATCTAACTCAAATAACTACTAAATTTCGGATTAACAGTTACTAACATTTATTATCCATCAACAAGCTAAATAACTGACAATAACAGAATCAGTGAAAAGGAAATCTACTCATTGGCAAACACAAAACAAATCCAGGCAGGCAGAATTGTTCAATCAAGCTAAACCTAATCAAAATTATAGGCTTCGAACACTAATCATAGATTACTTAATTGAAACCACTCGAAGAAATCAGAACACAAATGAAATCAAACAAGATAAAATCAACTAATTAAACAGAACTCTTAAAAAATTGAAATATCTTTTAGCCATGAAAGCAGAAAAAAGCATCACACAAAAAAAAACGAACAAGCGGACTAATCATGACCAAAATTATGGATGAAAACGAGAAATAACACATGAATTACGATTACACACAGCTAAACAGAATTAAACCACGTTAAGCATCAAAAATAAACATGGACACTCACTGACTTATCTTTTAAAAATCCAGCTAATTCTCAAATCCAAATTCGACCATCTTCGACGAGATTTGAATGCAAACGATGATGAATTCGCCACGAGGGAGGCGAGGGGGTCACGTGGTGTCAATTTGGCGAAGTTTGGGAAAACTAGGGTTTTGGTCCGAAATTCGATTTAATATTCGAATAGTTCTGGTGAGATTTGAGGGACGGGGTTTGGGGGGTTTGATAGAGGAGATCAAGGCGGTTCTATGGTGTAATTTTGGTAAAGTTTGGATGACTTTGGGTTTTGGCCGGAAAACTTTGGTCCAAGATTCGACAAGTCTGGGTATGATTCGAGGGAAACTGGGGCTGGATATGGAGAGAGGGAGAGGAGAGGAACCTAGGGTGTGATTTTGGTGGTGTTTGGAGACTGGCCGCCGCCGTGAGGCGATTTCCGGCGGCGGCGTACGGTGGCGTTACAAGGTCTGTAAATGGGGTGAGGAAGACGGTGAATAGGGGGGCTGTTCCGGCCATTAAATATTAAGGCTTCCCTAGTTCTCAGCCGTTGGATCAAAGATCCTCGACGGCTGAGATTCACTCGACCCAGGAACGACGCCGTTTTGTTTTAAAGGGGGGCAGGCCGGGTTTGGTCATTTGGGCTGGTCTGGGGGTGTATTTGAATTGGGCTGGGGCGTGATTAAACTGAAATAGCCCACATTTGGGTCATTTATTAAACCAGCCCTCTTCCCCTTTTCTTTATTATTTTCTTTTCTTTTTCATTTCCTTTCCTCTTTTTATTTTTGTTTCTATTTTTATTAAATGCCAAAATAAAACCAAATTGACTCTTAAAATTACATTACTTACTTTCCAATTACACTAATTCCTATTTTAAACGCAAACTAAGACAAATTAAAGCTATAAATGCAAAAAGCACCATTTTTGTTATTTTCTTTTCTTTTCCTCTTTTTATTTTAATTTCCTTTAATTTGGACCTGACAGAAATCTAAATTAATTCCTAAAATTAAATAAAAATTGATTAAACCCAAAAGTGACAATTAACACAAACAAATTAACGCAAAATTACTCAAAAATCGAAAATCAAAATTAAAAGTGCAAACTACACTATACTTTTGATTTTTCCTTTTATGAAACAATTAATTTTCTAATTAATGCCAAATGTATTTTTTATATGTTCCATATGAATTAAAATGCACAAATAAAATGCAAACAATTAACAGAAAATAACACAAAACTCACAAAATTGTAAAATAATGAAATAAATCATTTTGTTTGAAGTTTTGGGAATAATTCATATAGGGCAAAAATCACGTGCTCACATTAAGTACATAATCAAATATCTATATAAGTTCAGTGATTTAACATGTCAAACTAAACATGATATTGGTGAAAATTACCCTAAATATTTAAAACAGAAATTCTGGACAGTACCACTATCTAGTGTTAGGGCTCAGTTTTGAAGATTTAAACGGACAAACTAGACTGTATAGTCTTCATGAAAGTCGTATACATATGTCTTAGGGACTCATGAAATCTTGAATCACCCCAATATCAGTTTAGTAAAAAATGTTATGCTAAAATTACTAACAATAGTACATGGAGGGTTTGTAAAACAGAAAATCTGGGCAGTACCTGATCTGTACTTTATGATCCCTTTTCAAGTAAATACAAGTAAAACTAGATTTTGGTGTCTGAGTAAGAGTTATTGATATATGAAATATCTTTTCAAAAAATCTTGGATCACTTAAAAGTAATCCCTATACAAGAAGATACGAAGAAAATACTAATAGTGGTCTAGTGTAAAAACGGGCTTAGTAACTTACCACAAAAGAGAGGAGCAACTTGAGCTTCACCAAGAACTAGTTTGGCTGGTTGGTTTAGTAAAAATTTCTGATGGTTATCATGAAGTATTTCAGGTGATAAAAAGGAGAGAGGGTACGGGTTTTCTTTGGCATGAAACAGTGAAATATGAGAGGAGGTTATGGAAAAGCAAGTCACAAAAGTAATATTTATGAACTTTGGATAAGTATGAAATAAAAGTGGCTGCCCAAACTACTATATATTTTTAGATAAATACAAAAGGGTGACAACACAAAACCTTAAATATCTAATGTATTTAATAACAATTCATGAAAAACACCATGAAACTTCTTTTTACATATTAACATAATCTAGAGTAAGTAATTTTTATATATTGTCAATTTCACATTTAGGAAGTGCGAAGTAAAATCTATCCTCATTATAAAGATGCTCAATAGAGAATGCAAATATAAGTAGAGAATTTGGGGTGTTACAACTCTCTCCCCCTTAAATAAATTATGTCCCAAAATTTACCTTATACTAGTCCTGAAACAAATGTGGATATCGAACTTGCATATCCTATTCTCGCTCTCAGGTAGCTTCTTCGCCAGAATGATTTTTCCAAAGAACTTTCACTAAGGGATGCTCTTGTTTCTAATCTCTTTTAACTCACGCGCTAAGATTTGGATAGGTTCTTCTTCATAGGTCAAATCAGGATTGACCTCAACAGATTCAATAGGAAGAACATGACATGGATCTGAGCGGTATCTTCTAAGCATAGAAACATGGAAAACGTTATGAATCTTGTCTAACTCAGGTGGAAGAGCTAGTTTATAAGCAACTGCGCCAACTCTCTCAAGCACTTCATAAGGTCCAATAAATCGAGGACTAAGTTTACCTTTCTGGCCAAATATCATATACTTCTTCCATGGAGAAACCTTTAAGAATACTTTATCACCCGCTTGATACTCAATATCACGCCTCTCAAGTTCAGCATAAGACTTCTGTCTATATGAAGCAATTTTTAAGCGATCCTTGATGATATTTACCTTATCTTCAGTTTGTCGCACAATCTCAGAACCCATCAATTTTCTTTCACCAACCTCGTTCCAATAAAGAGGCGTTCTACATTTCTCCCATATAAAGCTTCATAAGGAGGCATGCCTATACTTGATTGGTAGCTATTATTGTAAGCAAATTCTATCAGGGCTAAGCGTTTGTCCCAACTACCCTCAAACTCAATAATGCAGGCTCGAAGCATATCCTCCAAGATTTGTATTACCCTCTTAGACTGGCCGTCTATTTATGGATGGAAAGCAGTACTAAAATTTAACCTGGAACCCAAAGCTTCTAGCAAGCTAAAAATCTGGATGTAAACCTTGGATTTCTGTCCGACACAATAGAAACAGGGATTCCATGCAGCCTCACAATCTCATTAATGTATAATTCTGCCAATCGTTCCGGTGAGTAGTCCATTATGATTGCCCAGAAATGAGCACTCTTAGTTATTGCATCATGATTCCTTTGAGTGCGTGGAAGTCCAGAAACAAAGTCCATCGTTATCCTTTCCTATTTCCACTCAGGTATTGACAAGGGTTGCAGTAGACCGGTTGGGACTTGATGTTCAGCTTTTATTTATTGACAAACCAAGCATTTTGAAATAAACTCTACAATGTCTTTCTTCATACCATTCCCCCAGTAGTGTCCCTTGATGGGCCGGTATAATTTAGTACCTCCAGGATGCATTTCATAAGGTGAACTATGTGCTTCAATCAAGATCTCCTTCCTCAATTCATCATCATTAGGAACACACAACCTATTTTTATAAAATAAGGTACCATCTTTCTTCAATGTAAAATCTTATTCTCTTCCATTTTGGACTTCTTCAACCCATTTCACAAGCTTCTCATCTAACTTCTACACTTCTTGGACCTGCTCAAGTAAGACTGGCTTGACTTGCAAATTAGAAATGATAGAACCATTATAATTAAATGAAAGACAAGCATTCATGGCTCTTATAAAAGAAGCAAAGGCAAAGGACTTAAGAGTTAAACTTGCAGGGAATTGCGACTCAACGCATCTGCAACCACATTTGCTTTATCAGGATGATAATCAATCGTGCAATCATATTCTTTGATGAGTTCAAGTCATCTACGTTGTCTCGAGTTTAACTATTTTTGTGTACCCAAGTACTTTAAACTCTTGTGAGCAGTAAATATATGACACTTCTCCCCGTACAAATAATGCCTCCAAATTTTTAAGGCAAAAATAATGGCAACAAGTTCAAGATCGTGAGTGGGATAATTCAACTCATGTGATTTCAACTTTTGAAAGGCATAAGCAATTACTTTCCCTTCTTTCATCAAAACACAACCCAAGCCACGGTGAGATGCATCACTGTATATCACATAATCTTTCCCTTCAGATGGCAAAGAAAGTATTGGAGCTTGTGTCAACAAGGATTTGAGCTTTTCAAGCTCTCTTGACACTTGTAATCCCACACAAACTTGGCGTCTTTCCCTAAAAGTTGAGTCAAAGGATAAGCTATAATAGAGAAGCCCTTCACGAACCTCCTATCGTATCCTGCTAAACCTAAGAAACTTCTGATCTCAGTTGGAGTTTAGGGGGTTTCCAATCATCATAGCTTGAATCTTACTAGGATCGACCTTCATACCTTCAGCTGATATAATATGCCCCAAAAAAGCCACTTCACTCAGCCAAAATTCACATTTGGAAAGCTTCGCGTAGAGTTGCCTCTCCTTCAGAATTTGCATGACAACCCGGAGATGCTTATCATGATCTTCTCTATTCTTGGAATAGACTAAAATTTCATCAATAAAGACCACCACAAATTGAATGAAGGTAAGGCTTTAATACACGGTTCATTAGATCCATAAATGCAGCAGGAGCATTTGTCAAACCAAATGGCATTATCAAAAATTTATAATGACCATATCTAGTCCTAAAAGCAGTTTTAGGAATATCTTGCTCCCTCACTTGCAACTGATAATATCCAGACCTCAAGTCAATTTTTGAGAACAAGTTGGCATCCTTCAGTTGGTCAAACAAGTTATCGATTCTAGGCAGTGGTTATCTGTTCTTGATTGTTACCTTGTTCAGCTGTCGGTAATCAATGTAAAGCCTAAAAGTGCCATCTTTCTTTTTCACAAATAAAACAAGAGCTCCCCAGGGTGAAATACTGGGACGGATAAAACTCTTCTCAAGAAGTTTTTGCAACTAAGCCTTCAACTCTTTTAATTCAGTTGGAGCCATTCTATAAGGAGCGATAGAAATAGGAGTAGTTCCAGTGACAAGCTCTATAGGAAATTCAATCTCCCTTTCTGGAGGCAACCCAGGAAGATCATCAGGAAATACATCAAAAGTCGCTCACGGTTGGTATGTCCTTAGGACTTGGACTCCCCAATAGTGTATCGACTATATGAGCAAGATAGGCATCACAACCTAGATGAATCATCTTCCTTGCCAAGACCGCAAAGACAATATTAGATGTCAATGATCTTTCTCCTTGAACTACTATGCGTGAATATGCAGGATTTCTAAAAGTCACTTGCTTTAACCTACAATCAACCAATGCATGGTGCCTATGCAGCCAATCCATACCAACAATAACATCATATTCTTGGAAGGGCATTTCAAGCAAGTCTGCAGGGAAGACTAGATTTTGAATCATGAATGGACAATCTCGGTAAATCCTATTAACAATAGCCTAATGACCTAATGGACTCATGACAACCACATCAAAGTCAAGTCTCACAGATTTAACAGTATCAGGAAATGCAAGTGATGGGCAAACATAAGAGTGCGAAGATCCAGGATCAACTAATGTAACAACAGATATGCCAAATAAGTGAAATTTACCAACAACCACGTCCGGTCCATCTTGGTCATTCTTCTGTCTTATAGCATAGACTCGCACAGTAGCTCTCGACCCACTAGCCTGATTAGCTCCACCCAAACCCGATGTTACCATATTTCTAGGTCTTGCAACGCTATTAGCTTGAGAATGAGTAGTGACATGCTTTTGAACTGAGCCCTCTATATGTGTAGAAGAAAGAGGATTAGGATTGGGACAATCCTTCACTTTATGATCTAGACTTCCACAATTGAAACAAGCACCAGAAGCTCTTCTGCAGGCACCATAGTGATTTTTCTCGCACTATGCATAAGTAGGTATATAAGTTTTGCCTTGGCCATAACTTGGAGTACTAGCATTAGAGAAATTTGACTTATTCTGCTTATGATATGGTGACTTTTGTGCACTTTCAGTCTTGGAATAGTCAAACTTTCCCTTCTTGGATGGACCACCATAATCTGAATCACCCTTCCTAAACTTGTTTTCTCTCCTACTAGCTTCATCCTTGTCAATTCTTTCCCAAGTAAGAGCAGCTTAAACTAGCTTGGAAAAATCCTCAAGTTGCAAGATTGCCACAGATTTTCAGAGGGAACCATTCAAACCTTCTTCAAATCTTCTGCATTTGTCTCTTTCATCATCAGTAATACCTCCAACATAGTGAGAAAGCCTGAGAAATTTTTGTTGATACTCCGCAATAGACATACTCCATTGTCTTAAATTCAGAAACTTTTTTTACCTTAGCATCACAATAGACAGGGGGGATATATTTCGCATGAAATGCTTTCACAAAGTCATCCAAAGTAAGCACCGGAGGTTTTGCTTTTGCATTTGGCACACTTACCCACCAATCATAGGCATCTTTTTGTAAAACAGAGATAATATACTTAAACTTGGCAGCATTAGTACACTCTAGTTGTTCAAAGACCCTTTCCATGCACTCGAGCCATTGTTCAGCTACCGTGGAATCAATAGTGCCTTCAAATTCAACTCCATCCATTTTCCTCATCTTCTCAAAATTTATTTCACTAGGTTCTGACATTGTCCCAACCAAGTGACGGAAGAAGTCAGCAGATTGCTGAAATAGAGGAGTCATAATAGGAGTACTATGACCCATTGCTCTTGAATTATTGCCCACTTCATTTTCACTAACATGATGATAATTTAGGTTAGGAAAGGGTTCCTCATCTCCTTCCTGGAGGTGAGGCGGAGCATTATAATGGGCCTGACTTTCATCAACGAATTCAATAGCTCTATTCGAAGAGGAGGCCATATTAAAATTCCTATAAAATATAAGATCACACTGCATTAGGGATATGTACAAGATGCATATGCACAAGGAATACAACAAATATGCAAAATTTTATAATCTCCGAGTCATTTTCAAAAAGGAAATAACAACAAATACTAGGTACGATCACAACAAAAATCCTAGAATCACAAACCTAGGCTTTGATACCAAAACTTGTAGCAACCCCTTTGGGATGGTGCTACTTACGAAACAAATCTAATTTACTGCTTACAACATTAAGAAGATAATAATCTAAAAAGACATTCAGAATAATTTAGTAGTGAAAATAGGCCCATGCGATAAAGGTTTAAAGTGCAATATTTTTATTTTTAAAAATACACTTCGTAAATTATTTTAAATGATATACAATGTCAAAATATCAACATAATATGATCAAACCCTACTTGAATAACCAACATGTTAAAGCAGCTTCCTAGCAAAATTTATATTTTTCGTTCAACATCACTGCATGTTCATATTGTACAAGTTCAAACTAGAGAGTAAAATAAAGAAAACCAGCCTTCTCCTTTGTATATTTTTACAAGACAAAGTGTAAATTTAACATATTTCAAGACTTGAGTTATTCACACACCCAACAACAGTAAAACAAGTCACCAAATTACATGGTAAGATTTTGGTCTTGAGATCCAACAAGCCTCCAAAATAGTATATATAAGTGTGACATATATATCATGTACAAGTCCCAAAACTATATAAAACCTAGGTGCATATGCAAATGTGATCTCCAAAAGTGCTCCCAAAAAGACTAGTTCATAAGGTTGTCTTCAAATATCATCCCGTACATTACCTACGATAGAAAACAATTATCGTTAAGCATAAAGCTTAGTGGCGTATAAACTTTGGGTTTGGAGCCATTAAATCAATTTCCCCTTTGCAGTCATAGGTAGATCAAATGAAATATAATTTAAAACAAGTAAATAAATATATCAAAAGCATCGAATATCAAACCTTGAAGTGTTTCCAAATATCAATAACAATGTTCAAGATTCAAGAGACGAGAAAGCGTATACTATCAATCCAAGAGAGTTTGCCAAATATTCATTTTTCTTCCAATATGTACGTCATGCCATCACACTAAGCATAATCAGATATCAAGATGGACCGAAGCCCCAAATCAAGTAGGGTCAAAACCCATAGTCAAGTAAATCAAGAACCATATAAAAAATGGCTTCCTAGTTCGTAATTAACACGGATAAGTTCAATAATTTAAGACGAACTACATTAAAAAGTCAAGAGATCCGAATCAAGAGGTATGCCAAGATGAGTGACAAAGTCACTGCCACAAGAAGGACAAAGTCCCAACAAGAATACAAAATGATCAAGCAAATCCGTATGAGTGGGCGATTTAGCGAATATCTTATAATACTTGATATA